TTAGAAATTCACTAGTTTCACTTTCCAAAAAGTTACTTGTTTAAACAGTAAAACACAGCTGACATGCTGCAGAAAAGGTTTTTCAGAATCTCTCTGCAGTAGGTTCTATTATCAGAGAACGTCCAGTCATGTCAGTTCACTGAGCAACACACTAACAGGCTCTTTATTATCATTTTAAATACAATTAGAAATTAGTGTTTGTTGTCAGCATGTTAGTCTGAACCAAAAATGTCAGAAAAGTCTGAGAACCATCATGTCTTCTTTTAAATAACTTATTAAAATACAAGTTATAGACTTGCTTTTTTGTGATGTATTCTATTTTGTTTGTTTTTTAAATTCTCTTTTACCCATTAGATATTCATTTATTTAGATATTTATTTTTATTTCATTACTATCACTATTTTCCTTTATGTTTTTTACCCTTGTTCTTTCCCCCCTAATTAGATATGGCTTTTTTCTGGCATGGTTGTATTCATTTATTTCACAAATCTCTGACCATGTTTAACACCATTCCTCCACTTTATTATTATTATTTTTGCACATATCCATTCAGTAGGTCACTGCTCTGCTTTACATGAATTCCTGAACACAAGACTGTGTTCGAGTCAACCAAACTTCAGCTCAGAGTGTGGAAACACTCAGAGGTTGCTTCCTCAGTAACCTCTATCATCGTCTCTCATGACTTGGAAGCACCAATCATTAATCATCCCGGCAGCGTCGGGTTTCGATTGTTATCGCAACAATAAGCCACACATCACCAAGGATGTCAGAGTCTGAAATAACAAAAATAAACCGGCTGTTTGGGTTCCTCTGCAAACCTCCTCTGGTGAAAATCTTTGCTAACATGTTCATTTAGTGTTTTTTTAACGTACTGGAAGACACATGATGAGCGAAATAAGCAGCCAATCCCACGGCTGAACATTTCCACCTGTGTATTGATGACAGTCTAAAAAAGATTCTGACTTTTGGGTTTCATATATAAAAAAATGTAAGCAACCTCCAATATTACATCTTGCAGTGAGTGAGTTGAAGGCGAGCTGGTGTGCTCAGGCTATAGCGAGTGGAGAAAGAGTCAGGAACTATGCAGCTCGGTGCATTACAGAGGAAGCGACAGAGTAGAGTTACATCTAGGTAATTTTAAGGTAGGAAGGGAGTATCTTTTAGGGAAAAAGCTTCTAAATGTGTAATTCTGCAACACTAAGAGGAGTTTTTAGGGGTTAAATCAATGACCAGAGAGGTTCTTTAATCAATTTCTGCGGAAGGCAAGAGAGAGGAATTAAACTAGAACCACAACTGAACAAAGCTTCAGCTTAATGCACAATTAAAGGCTGCGGGACTGTATGAAAAGCATAACAAATATGAATTCTAATGAAAAACAGCTCACCACTCTGGACAAACAATGGAAAGTTAAACTCAGTGACTTTTATCTCAGATTTGAGATGCAGTGCTGAGGCCTTGGACTCTAGTATAGATCTCTCAAACCGGCTCAAAGCAGAACCACAGCAGTTATTGTCCATTGTCTAGGCTGAGCAGTAAGAAGTTCAGACAGTCTGTTCACCTTCATCCTTAAAACATCCTCCGAGGAACTCGCTGCTGCATGGTGCCCTAATTTTCAACAGTCCCTGGATGTTGACACTGTTCCAGCCATCTGGAAAAAGTCCATAATCATTGCAGTGCTTAAAAAACCATGACCATCTGAAAACAATAATTTTAGACTTGCAAGTCAAAGGAGTCGCAGTAAACATGTTTAGGACAGCTATTGACCCACTTTTGGATCCACTTCAATTTGTTTGAAGATCTATTGGGATCCACCTAATCAGTGTACATCTACAAGGCTCTAAAGTCTATGCATGTGTGTAATGCTTTTGCTTTTAACTGAGCTTTTAATGAACTCCAGCCTCATTTGCTCGTACATAAATTAAAGGAAGTGCATGTGAATGCTTTTGATAACAGGTTAGAACAGATTAAGGTCAACTGTTCCTGCTCTGAACATCGTTAAATTCTCTGATGTTACAACGTGGTATCATAGGGAGATTGTTAACTTCATGTACTGGCCTGATCACCACCACCTCAATTTAATGGAAAGAAAACAAAAGATACAATATTTGATCCCAACTATTAGATTAATTGTGAATGATTTTGATGATGCATTATTCAATTATTCAAAAAAATGTAAGGAAAAAAATCAGAATTTTTCCTATTTCCATCTCTTAAATTTGAATCGTTAAATTATGTGTAACAATCGATGATTAATGAAGCTGGAGCGTTCAGAATGAAAACCTGTGTACCAGGCTGAGATTCATATGGATTCAGTTTGTCGACATGGACCTCATTGTCCAGTTAAACTGCAGATGACAACTGTATCGCTAATAACTAAACACACAAGCACACAAAATAGTGAAGCAGCGTTCATTTTGTCTACAAAAACTACGACAAAAAATACTCATTACTGACATATTTTTTATGCCGAAAACAAAGTTACAAATAAATAAAGAGTATTGTTCCAAAATGGGAACTATGATGAAGTGTCTTACCATTTTCATTAACAAAACTAAACCTTAACGTTTAAGACGGACAAATGAAACGGGCTAATCAGCTGTTTAAAGTGTTTTTCACTGAGCAGCAGCATCTGTGGAATCAAACACTGCAGCTCCCGATAAAAGTTTCCTCGAAATATGTCTTGTTCTCTCCGTAGATTTATCAGTTTGACCTGTTATCCTGCTGTTAATTAAGAGGCTCTTTACATACGGCAACATGTCCTGCAATAAAATCATCTGGCAGTGCATGAAAGAAACACACACGTATAAAATAAAGTCATCGACAAGCTGCAAAAAAACCCCAGCTGAGACAAACTACGAACATGCGGACAGCTGCTGATCTTTAAAAAATGGGAAGCTAACATTCATCTAACACCGCTAATGTCACGGTAATTTTACTTTCAATTGGATGTCTGTTTTGCTGATGTCAGAAGGAAAGAGTCAGTTCCAGGATTAATTATGGTGCTCCATCTGAACTAGGACTTCAGTGAATCATCTACTGAAGGAATGCTAACGCTAATGCTAGCTGAGCAAGACAGACGGACAGGGAGCGATTCGAAGTTTGGAAATGATAACCAGATTTACTGAGGGGAGTCTATCTCATCTGTTGCATCAATGCAGAGCAGATGACAAGGACACTGAAGCCTTTTCCATTCAACTCGTAACACAGGAGAACAACACAAGTAACCATGGCAGCTGTACACAAAGAAGGCAGCAGCTGTGACCTCAAACTGCTTTGATTAAAAAAGTAAAAGTTAGACTAAAATGTCACTGATGAAAAGGAGACTAAAATGTTTTCAGTTTTTGTTGATTGAAGCTTAATAATCACAACTAAAATTTGGCTAAAACTAGGGCACCTTTTTGTCAAACTGCTGTACGAGTTGTTACCTAAACTTATCAAGAAGTGAACCATGTCAGAGGTTGTTCTTTTTTTCTTCCATTCAGACTGACAGGTTGCCTTCATTGTTGTGTAGGTACGGCAATATGCCGCAACTGCTTTACAATACGTAAGGACAAGTTAACCGTGGCACCGACAGTTTTCAGCAGATCAACAGCCTGCAAGTTGATTTTAAGACTGTCGTAAAGTAAATGTGCAAAAAACAAGAAAAACAACTGAAAAATCAAAACATTGCAGCGTGCCATGAAAATGGTTTGCAGCAATGCAAATTGTAAGTGATTTGTGGTAAACTGGTTAGAATGGTCTTTTTTAGATCTTTTTTTTCCTCAGTTGTAAATTCGACTTGGATGTGGCCATGTGCACAGTTTGGTTCAAATGTTTCCAATATTTTTAAAAATGTTTTTATAAATATAAGGTAGGAATAAAATACTGCAGACTGCGTTCGGCCTTGTTAGATAAGCTTTCACAGTTGCCCACATAATCAGTTTTAATAGAGCATGTTTTTCTTTTGAAAACGTGGATCCCCGGCCACGAGACCACAGAATACGGTCTGCATTTAAAAAAAAAAAAAAAAAAAAGAAAACTGGCTGATGATGAAAAATGCACATAGTAATTCTATGTCCGTGAAAGTCACTCAGATCATTTCTTCGGTCTTTTAATGCACGCAGTGATTAAACGACAACTTAATTTTCTGTATTCAGAGTTTACTCAAAGTGACACCAAACCACGCAGCGCCATATCTGAAGCAGTGTTGCTAAACAGAGACATTTCCCAGCATTAAGACGTACAATAGGGCTTTCATGGAGACTGTAGGAAACTAGTCCTGCTGTACCCTAAAACCACACACTCTGTCACATCGCTCTGTGTCTAAAGTTACGTTTTTCAATGCATACCACATGTACCGACCATGTATCGCCTGATATGTTTTCAATGTGGAGAAAAAGACAGAGAGGGAGACAGAGGAAGCCATAGACAGCCACCATTTTTTAAAACTTAATAATATGCTGTTTATATTGAGTACACACTGGTTACCATGCTAGTGCAGCTACTTCAGGTTTCTCACCTTCTCTGTCCTCATCTCTCCTCTCAAGGATGACAACTCTTTTGACAGTAAAATAAATACACTTCTCTCCTCTTTGCTCTGCACTGTGCGTGAACCAACTCTCACCCTGCTGCCAAAAGCCTGAAGCAGAGTGTTCTCGGTGTAAAATAAAACGTCTGAAACATTATTTGTTCGGCAGCCAGGCTCTTGTCATCAGGTGACCTGCTTGGAGTAAATCTTTTCAATAAGGCAGCGCCAAAAAGCTGCCAGGCCAGCCAGAGTGTGCCATACTCCTACGCACATCCACACAGCAACAACAATCACACAAACACGTCATCACATGCAGCGTGCAAAAGCAAGTACACAAACGCATGTCTAGTTTTAGAAGCTGACGAATGAGGCTTGACAAAATGTCCTCACGTTTTTCTTCAAGTTTTTCAAAAATAGAACACATTCTCCGTCCTTTTCTCCACCTCTCACACTTTTTAAACACAACGCTGATTGACGTTTGACTTTGTCTCACCTGTTCCTGCGTCATGCTGTGCAGCTGCGTATGCCAGGAGGCGGAGTCAGAGCGGTGATAGGCGGGGGGCGGGGCGAAGTCCTGCAATATGATTGGGTCTCGCTCCTGACACAGTGAGGTCAGGTGACTGATGTACAGCTTCAGTTTACTGCGATTCTGATTGAGATCCAGGAGAGGAGAGAGAATCTGAAGGAAGAGGACAGAACATTTTGTTGACCTTTTAAAACAACACACAATACAAACAAATAGACAATATAACTCATGACAACTGATTTAAGGATGTTGGAGGAAGAAATGGGGAAAAAAGATGGACATGCAATGATGCAACGACACGCAACCAGAGAGAGACAGCGAGGACAAATGAGAAAGAGGCAAACTGAGATGGCAAATATTGCTAATTGTGGTTATTATTAAAAAAAATATAAAAAAATCCTGAAAAACTGCTTTCACAAAGTAGATATAATTCATGGTCCACAAAAGGAAATTTGCTTTGGGCAGTGGCACACAATGTTTAGCAGCTTTATACACGGTAATATAACAAAAAGTACACACCAAAGTACAGGAAAAGCAACATATGTAGAACCAAATATCTAACATACAGTATAAATCACACACTTGTAAAACTCTATGTATGTTTTGCACAAGTAGGTGCAACATATTGAACTTTATGTAAAGAGATAGAAAATTCCAGAAGGACAAAAACAAAAGAGGGATCCAGAGAATCAACCAGGATGGATCTGTGCACTGGTTATAAAGGCCCCATATGGTAAAAATACTTTTTTTTATTGGGTTTTGGATGTCAACTGTACCATTTTGTCAAGCAAAATCATCCAAAAAGGAGTTTCAAGTATGTCAGAGCTACCACCGTGACTGTGAGGCCGCCGTCAAGCGAATGGTCAACGTGGAGATGTTTGCTTCTGGATTTATAAACCAGTCAGCATCTAGTTTAGTTGGTGACTGAGGAACCAACAGTTGTCCAGATGAAAATTTGCTGCAACTCGGCCGAGCCATTCAGAAAGAGCAACTGCCTCAGTCCATCATTTTTATTTACTTCCCAGAGCTGCTTCAGCGAACTTGAACATGTCTCAGCTACAAGTAAAGTACGCCGGAGTACATTCAGGGAAGACAGAGTGAACAATCCCTCTGCTTTTCTTTTTGGAGGTAAAGGAATGCTGCGCTTTATACAACAAACATTATTTTGGAATGATCCTTTTTCAGCTCTGATTATAACTGCAGTCAACTAACTGTATTGCATCAAAGTTACACAACTGATCCGCAGACAACAGCTTTGATGAGAAACCGAATGAAATCAGATTCCCTTGTTGAACGGCAGCATTTGCTTCACGGAGAGAGTGTGTGTGTGTGTGTGTGTGTGTGTGTGTGTGTGTGTGTGTGTGTGTGTCTGTGCTTCTGCAAAAGTGTGGGAACGCAGGTGAGATGAGCAAAACAGATATACATGCATTCTAGGGGTACGAGACAGGACCCCCCAAGAGACACACACTGATAAAACACACAGACACACACTGCTCTCCTTGGGGAACGCCAGGATTTAAGTGCAGAGGAAGCACGTTAAGAGGGCTGTTAGTGTGTGCGTGTGTTAAAGTATATTTAATCCCGGCGGCGTCTGTCCTCACCCCGCGCTCTGTGCTCATCGTCACTCAGCGCACACACACACACACACACACACACACGAGTTTCTACATCTGGATCCTCAGCACAGTAGCATCGTTCTCTCTCGGTTCGAACACCACCTCAGTGATGCTGTCTCAATTCTTTACTTTAAATTTTCATTATTCCAGCCCTCCAATTATGTTCATATACAGCTAAGGTGCAACCTCAGTTCAGTTTAATAGAAACTTATTGTCTCCCAGGAAGGTGACAGAATGATGAAACTCAAAGTATTCACTGTTTGGTTAACAAAACTACTTAGTTTGAGTTAAGAAAATATCATGATTACCAGAAAATCTGGCATTTTGAAGCACGTTTGAAGCTTCTCCTTCAATTTTTCTATTTCCATGGTGATCTAACATATGATTAGTTGACTGAAAAGTTGGACAGCAATAAAAAAAAAAAGGCACAGATATGTTAATTGGACCAGTATTTGTTATAAATCACAAAACAAACCCTCAGACTGTGGTTATGAATGCCGTTTCGTTGTATGGGAATAACGTTTTGGCGACAGGACTTAATTATTGATGCATTTAATTCAAACAGAATGTGGAGTTAGACGTATATAATGTATAATATTTGTTTCTGATTTGTAGGCAGCTGGTCTTTAAAACTGTATACGAGAAAACCTCAAGCACAATTTTGGTCTGCAGCGCTCTAAATGACTGAGCAACGTATATTATGTAAGCTGTACGCAGCCATGGCAACCAAACACACACTGCGTGTTTCATCTTAACTGATGGATGAAACCGACATGCATGTGCTGAGTCAATGGATAATGATTTAAAATGAGACGGTCCGTGTAGCATGCATACAATTTTAAATACTGTAAGAGATAAATGTGAAATATTGGAGTTTGTGTTGCATATTTGTCTCAATTCAGGACACTGTTGCTTATATTGTTTGTATTTACTGCTTCTAATGACGTGACTCTGTTGCTCTCTACTGCTCGTCTGTTGTATTTATAACAACTGATGTGATAACCAAAAAAACAGCAAATCCTCCAGTCCCAGGGCACACAGCTTTTACTTTTATTTTCTAACTATGAAAACCAACTTCAGTTGTCACTCAAACAAACACTGACAGAATTTGAATAAAACATAGCATATATATTTATATATATAGCCAGCATTCATTATTTATTACAGTCCTGTGTTTGAGAATCTTGACAAACAAATAAAAAGAAATAGATGTGGGTGGGTTTTTTTTGTTTTTTTGGTGGAAGAAAAAGTCTTTGCACGCGCTTCTCCAGCAGCATCACTGCAACAATGAAAGCTGACAGTAAATCAAAGTAACTGTCACTTGTGATTCTGAATCCTCACCTTATTTACTGCAAACACACACAAACTGTGAGTAATTTTGTGTTTTTTTTCCCCAGACCATCTCCAATGTACATGAGTGGCTAAACCGCCTTCCTGGATCATAACTGCTTGTTCCTTACACTAACACGCACAAATCACTTTTATATAGTGCGCATAAGCACGCAGCGCACACACACACACAGACACGTTGCGACACAGAAAAACATACAGGCACTCGCGCTCATTCAGGGTCGTTATCAGCATTTTAAATAGCTCTAGTTACAGTATTTTCCAGTGAGGACCTGCCAGTAGGTTACAGTCCATTACGAAATACATTACTGAACATTTCCCTCCGGAGGCGAGAGGGAGGCAGACGGGGAAGGAAAGAGAAGCGAAGAGAAAATGATGGAGCTGAGGGCTGCAGGAATCCTACACATTCTGCATTTGAAATCACCTCGGCTGCTGACAGTGGCAACGCAACAAGAGCGTTATCTCTGCTAGACTGTAACACGACGATATGCGAAACACATTCTTCAAAATCTGGCTTTCCTGCTCTAAAAACATGCTTAACATATGTGCAACAGCTGTTCTCTCACACTTTCTAATTCATACGATTCTGTCAGAAAGCTGCAAAAAATCCCATCACTTTCCAGACCTGCAGCGAAGCTCTGCAGATCAAGTACAAGACAAACGAGAAGCAGACAGAAAGAATCGAAGGAATGGTGGGGAGAAATAACATCAGCAGTGTTTTCTTTTTCAACATCTATTTAACAGTAAAATGTGACTGAGGAATAATAACAAGATTCCTGAAAGTCTCTGAAAAACCTTTTGAATTTTGCATATTTATTAAAACATACAGCACATATGCACCTACACGTTTTTCTTGTATTACACAGCCTGCAACAGTCAACACATGCAGTGTGTGTGGTTAATGAGTCCGCAGTGCTTTCCAGTGTCTTAGTGTACTGTGAAACAATCCCAGAGGAGACGTAACTTTATACAGCGCTGTGAGTCAGTGTGTGTGTGTGTGTTTGTGCCGCTTTATTAGCCTCCCATGCCTGCCTACCATATTCTTACTGTACTATGAAAGAACTCCAAAGAGAGACATTCAGCCGGCCTCGCAGACTGGCCACGTTTTTAAAAAAAAGCCTTCTATGGTCACATTATACGACACAATCAGGACTTTTCTTTCTCCTCAGAACCCTTTGAGACAAATGCACACAAAGACAAATACACATGCCAGTATATGTCCAGGAACAGAATCAATAGTAGATGGAGGATTTGACTGCCGAATATTTTTACAGTGTTTGAGCCTAAGTGACCCGACTAATAAAGTTCTGGTTACTGCAGGTTCTCTTAAACGGCCGGTCATAAATCTGCTCTGATATAAAACATGCACCTACAGGCTCCTGAATTTTGACTGAGGCTGAAACAATTAGTTGATGAATCAACAGAACAGTAGGTTTGAGTCACAGGTCAAGCAAAAATACCAAACATTTGCTGATTTCAGCTCTAAATTCAGGCTTTTGCAGATTTTTTTATTATTATAATTTGAATATTTCTGTTTTTTCAAATATAAAAAAATATTTGGAGAAACTGTTTTGACTGTTGTTTTGTAACTTTGAACATTTTATAAAGCAAAAGATAATCAAGAAAAAAAGGACTGATCAACAGATTCTGAAAGAAATGCAGGTAGATGTTGATTAAAAGCACCTTGTTGTAACAAAAAAGTGAAATAAAAGTGTAAAAGTACAAAATATTGATCACACAAGAGAAAAGTCTACAGTCTACTGCTGTCAAATGATGAATAAGAACCGACTCTCAGCATTAAATAAATGTAATGTCATGTTAAAACATAGACTTTTTGAATCAGCGCTGAAACTAGATTTTTAACTTCTAAAAGTAAACTTGGGGAACTGATCACTTTGATAACAGCATTTCACTGTTCTTCATGTCAAACCTCCGAAACCAAAGAATACTGAACGACTTTATAGAAATCCCCATTCATTTATCTTCCTTGTCTTTTACCTGATGTATCTAACACAGCTTAAAAATATTTTAAAAATACAATAAAAACGTCCCTAACAGCAGCTGGTGTGTGCTCAGACTGCTCTCCTGTGTTTTTATCTGCAGCGGTTGTCTCTGAAGCATTTCATTCTCCAACTGTGGTACAGAATCCCCTTATAGAGGACGCACAGTCCCCCACTGTTTGGATGAAATGTGCTATGGCTAATTACCCACCTTACACACCAAGAGCAGAGGGTTTGTACGAGTGGAGGGGAGACAGGAAGAAAAAGATGTGTTGTGTACGTGCTGGCTGGCCCGACTTCTCTCAGCAGGGAAGTGTTATCTCTAATTAATAACCAGGGTCAAACTTAGATCCGATGGTGAACCTTTTGGGCTTTTAGCATCCCGATGGGAAATCCCTTTGGAGGAACTGAGCTGTCCTAAAAGCAGCATGTGCTCCTCACATGTGGAGCTGCCTGTGTGCTGTGCAGATCAAACCTATACATCCTTCGACACATTTCTAAGTCACCTTTTTCAAGAATTTAACAGGCATGTGTGACTTCTCCAGTTTATCTTGTGATAACATGTTTTACTGAAACATGCCTAAATAGTTAAATTAGCACAAGTGAAGCAAGAACTGTTTTTTTTTTTTGCTTAAGGAAGACTGTTCTGCATTAGATGTGTTAAGACTGATTAGTGGCAGCATATTTTTGTTCTTGCTTTACTTGAAGGTTGTCACACATCTGCGATTAATGATCTTTGGGCCTTTAAAATACTGGAAATGCCCCAATTGTATAATTACCACCACAGGGGCAAGTTCAAAGCGAAAAAAAAAAATCCTTTTTAGCATTCCGGAAAAAAAAAAAAAACACTTGCTTTTTAACTAATGATATGGCAAAAGAACAGCTTTGCAAAAATAGTAAATACAACATTAAAATCCCCTCTCTGGTCATGATTAAACCTAAAAGCTCCTCTATGTGTATGAAGTTTGCATAATTAGAGTTTTGGTAAATAAAAAATTACATCTGCGTGCTGTAAAATGGTTTAGATGTAACTCTGTGGATCTAGCAGGGCTCCACCTCTTTCGCTGCAGCCCTTTGACTGCACACCAGCTCACCTCCGACTCTGTTCAGACACTGTCAAACTTCTCTACGCTACACAACGGCAAGTTGTAGTTTTGGAGTTATATGTGTTCAAACTGGATATTGATTCTAGAGAATAATAAAGAGAATAATGGAAAGGTCCACCCTGCAAATTCACAGAATTAGTTCCTTATGTTTGTTAGTCTAAAAGTCTGCATCTGTGTTTTTGTGACTGTCATTGGCTGCAGTTTCAAGGTGGAAATGCTCAGCTGTGGCACTGACATGATATGTCTTCCAGCATATGGAAAACACCATATGGACATGTAGAAAAGGTAAAAAGCTTGGTTTTTAAAGCAACGGAGGAGGTGTTATGGTACATTTAAATAAGAAATGAGAGTCACAAAAGAGATAAAAATTATGTGGAGCTCCCAAAATTAAAAAGATTTTTTTTTATATTCTAAGAATGACAAAGGAACCACCCGAGGGATTAATCAAAACTATTAAAATGAAATAATGTGTGTAAAAAGTGCACACACACAAAATAGAGCAAGATAAAGAGTTCAAAAAAATGTGAACTGGAAGAAATGATCATCAGAAGACAAAGAAATGACATTTAAAGGATGAGCCATTCAGATACTGACCAGATGAAACGCATGATTCAAGATTTGAGTTGAAATGGTTCCTTTTAAAGTAATAAAGAATGTGAGAAGAAAGGAAAGATAAATCACAAAAAAGGAGGCGTTTCAAGACTGGATATCAAAAAGAACGGACGAAAACGTAACGGGGAAAAAAAAGTGAAGCGAAACGACAGACTCATAAACAAGATCACAAACTGGATGATGGATGAATGAAATGGATGAAACAGAACCGAGAAAGACGAGTGACACGACGAGCACATCCAAACACGGTCCAGACAGAGGAAGCGCTCACCCTTTTGTACAAAATGCCAAACTGAGGGTGAGAAAGAAGGCATGTGGCTGGTTAGGCCCAAATGCCCTCCTCATCGTCCTATTGGTTAGTTCAGTCCAGCCGCAGCGTAAGTTTAGAGAAAGCAGGGAGTTAGTTTGGCAAAATTTGGAAACTTCAGACAGAGATAGCAAATGTAAGGTTGTAAAACATTAAAGCAATGTTAAAAATTTATTGCACCAAAAATACAAATGTCACTTCCTGGAAAAACTTCCACTTGAACATTTGAGTTATTAATAAATTCAGTGTGTTTTGACTTGTTTGGTGAAGGCTCAGTGTTGCCGACAGACATCCTACCTGGTCTGGGGAGGGCTTGTGATTGTTGGGCTGCTCTGAGTTTGGAGATGCGACCTTGAGATGGTCGTCCTCGTAGTTGTCGGCCATCAGCTTCATCCTGTTCTGCGTCTGCAGAGAGACAAAGCAAACAATTAGATCTCTTTGATTTGTGACACGCACAGATGGCAAAAGCATTTTTTTTTTTTTTTTAGTGAACGATCCGACAACGTCACGATGACATTCAGGTTTGAGGAAGCATCCCAGAGCAGTGAATGTATGTATACGTGTGTGTCTGGAGAAAGGAAAACTCCAGCCTTGAGTTCCTTCAGACGTTAATTTGCAAAAAGGAAGGAAGGAATCTTTGGACGACTGCCACGAGCTCTGCCTTCACAAACATAGAAAATCAAGAATGAAAAGACTGAAAGCTACAACTTCAATTTAAAACATTGCCTCTTCTCTTTATTGTGCATGTTTGGAACTGCACATATATTCACGCATGGACACACACAACCGACAAACACACTGACATACCACCTGTTGTGTAGCGTGTTAAGTGGTGCAGAAGAATAACGGGCTTGTAAACGTCCCACTTCAGGGGAGATCCATAAAGACATAGACAAATATCAGACTGTACACACACAAAGGCCTGTAAATCTCTTCATGTGCTGCACACACAAAGCACACACACACATTTACAGCAGCGTTAACACACATTCACACAGTGTGAAGACTTATTCGCTCCTCCTCGATCCTTCTCATCTCTCCCATCTCTGCTCCAGCATCCTCTTTTTGCTCCTCTGATTACTATCAAACTCTTCCCTCCTTCCTTCTTCTCACCCCGTCTCAGTGCTCCATCTGTTTCACATGTTAGAGTTATACTTCAGGTTTTACAGTAGGCCTGTAAAGAGTGGGGGAGTGAGAGATAAAAACGCGAGGGAGGGAGTCAGTCTAAATCTGTCAGTCTTGTACAATCTAAATCCCCTTAGCCTCTCGCTGAGCCCTGCAAGGAACAGGGGCTTAAGCCGGCCAGACTGTGGTTTTTGCGTGTATATGTGTGTGTATGTTTGACAGAAACTAAAGAAAAAATGTGATATTTCATATTTTTGTGTATGTGAGCAAAAGCCGGTGCGTGTTTGTGTATCACCCAAACGACAGGGTTCAGTGTTGTTGTGATTATTATTATCGATTTTCTTTTAAAAGACACTTTTTTCAAACCGGTGTAGCCCGGCTAGCTCAGTCGGTAGAGCATGAGACTCTTAATCTCAGGGTCGTGGGTTCGAGCCCCACGTTGGGCGCAAGTGCTTTTAAAAGGGTTTAAGGGCAGAGAGCTGGCATGCACATTGATCTATTAGACTGAAATAATTACACATTGGACCTTGTGCAAACGAAAGCACTGCCAAAGATCCACATCAAGAACAAATGTATTAATGATGAATTGTAAAGGCATGGATGAAGGACAATCACCCTGCTCAGTGTTTCCTGAGTTTTGTGACACTGAAATCTCTGGTATACAACTCAACATACCTCGCTAACCCACTAATCTCGCTTCGTAGTACAGCCCTCAGCTGCCTGTACTACGAAGCGAGATCAACATACCCAGGATAGGTTTCAGAGATCCGGCTTGACTGACCCTAACAATCACACTCAGGATAACCGATTCTACGACGGTGGTTATCAACTCGGTAAGTCAACCCAGGGTTGTCTGATCTGAGTATGAGCGCGTGCCCATAAAATGAGTGGTGTTATCAGCATCTGACCAATCACGACTATGGACCAGTCTGGCTGCAGAGCGGCTCACTTTACCGCCGAGGAGCAGAATCTCATCTTTACAAAGTATGAAGAATAATACAAAAACATCATAGGAGCAAAAAGCAGCACCGTTGCAGCAACCAAAGCCACGAAGGAATGCTGGCAGAAGACTGCTGACTGCGTGAATGCATCAGTTCATTAGTTTATAATATAATATGATCACTGTTCCATCATGAAGGCACGTCTCAGACAATAAGCACAACTGAGGACTCCTTTGAACTAATTTGCTGCCTAATGTATATACTTGTGGCATATCTGACATTTTTGAGTAAAACGCCAAAGGATGACATTAAATCATCTGCACAGTTGTTAAGCATGAACCTGAAGCATTGATCTTGACTCTCTTGATGGTCATCAGACCTGGAAGCTTCACCATGCAGCCAAGTTCATCGCAATGTAAAAGCTCC